GGTGTGTCTATATATAAGGCCTATATAATATAATATAACTGTAAACCTGGTTAATCTTACTTAATCATTAATGTCTTCATGAAAACAATATTTACAGACCCTGGACTCTGAGGTCACAATCTACTCTAAAACGGATGATGAACTTTTAGCTACTTGGGAGATGGAAGACAGTGAAAGTGGTGTTATCATTGTAGAATACTCATATGGAACATATCCACTTGGGGATGACATTTGTAAAAAGACTGAGATATTTAACAGTACTATGACTGCTAGCGTTTTCCAAGAACCTATAGAAAGGGGTAAGTCTCCAAGCTGTTGAATGTTTCACCAAATAATACAGTATAACAATAAGAAAATGGTTTTATTATAATTTAAAAATTACATTTATTTGACATTTACAGGTTCTTCGAATATTTTAAATATATACATTACTAATTCAGCGACATTACGCACAGAGAAAGCATCGAGTAGTGTCGTTGTGGATATCATTCCACCCGGGGATGGAAAGGTACCGTACGAAATATGAATATTTATTCTACTTCTGCTTTAAATAATTATGTTTTGTTAGACGTTGACTCACGTTATTTGTAGATTAACGACTAAGTATTTTAACCAATTTTTGGATTGATTGTTTTAGGTATTTTGTCCACAATACATCAATGAGAGAAAAATTCAGTGCTCATGGGCTGGTTTTGTAGATATTGAATCTGGTATTCAAAAGTATTCATTTTCCATTGGAACACAAGTTGGTGCAAATGATGTTTATTTTGTCGATCAGATTCCAAGTTATAAAGATGCACTATTGGTCGAAGGTAAAGAATTTTTATTCGACTTATTATACATTAAAAAAATCTCAAATTTTTTGACCTAGAGATAATTTTTTTTTGGTTCAATATTTGGTACTGTCACTATGACTGACATCCTTATGTTTACTTTAATTCTAACAGGTTTTGGTAGTGGACCCCTTATTTCTTTACTATCATTCTATGTGACTATAGAAGCATATAATAAAGTCGGGCTATCAACAAAAGCATTCTCCAATGAGATCAAGGTTGACAGTTCTCCACCTGTTCCCGGAATTGTTATAGAACTCTCTGACGTAAGCGTTTTAAAAAATAATTCGTCTGAAGATTCACCTGTTACGACTGCTCAAAATGCGTGTGAAGATGTAGGCGACGATGAGAGTAATCGTTGTCGGACTCAAGATGCTGTATGTCAGACATCATTAACTACAGTCACAGTTGCATGGCAACCTTTTACCGACCCAGAGTCATACATAAAGAGGTAAGCAAGAAAGTATTAGGATAGCTGTATTTTGATAACCGTACTGTTAATACTGCAAAATACCCACAGACAATTTAAAATAAGGCACATATTTGGATTAATATGAAGGTTTTGCACACGAACGCATACGGTTAGTGTGAAGGGTACGTCATCATTTATGGCGTCATACGTCGATTGCTATCCGCTAAACGTGTGGACGACATGCATAACGAGTGAAAAACGCGTAGGGCAATTTTGGATTCCTAGTAGGATCTTCGTTTTTTTTTTCTCGTTTTACAGCAAGTGTAAAAAATAAACGTATCTTTGAATACGTACGTGCCATTTTTGTGAAATTTGAAGAAAGCAAATTAAGATAGGATGCGTCTCGTTTTAGTTTATCAAAACTTCGGTGCTTGGACC